AAAACAAAAATTATACTTGAAGTATGTCAGTCTAATAATTAAATGAAAAACAAATCATTCTTGTTATAGCTAACCAAAATATGCATTTAATCAAATCCGATTATTTTTATTAAATTAATTACTATACCCTAATTATAAGATGTTAACATGAAGTTCTTGAACATATTTTACATTTTTATTTACCCATTATAATCTTTTTAATACCTGAGAATGGAATTTTATTGAATAACTCCAATGACAAAAACTAGTCTACTAAATATGAGCATCCCATTAATTATACGAATAAATTCACTTGTCTAGGGTTAAAAACAGGGGAGTAAGATACAGACTGATGTGTCAAAAAATGATTGGATGTTTTTGTTTTAATTTTTGAAACTGTTTAATCATGTGTCGATATGTGTTGTATTTGAATTTGAGTCTGAAAGCCTGAATATGTAGCATGATTGTAATTATATCTATCCTTTTGTACCAAAATATTGCAGATCCAAATTAGGTGAGAAATATATCCACACAATTTTATGTTGACTAATCCAGTGGAACCCACGAATCATAACATTGTTTATGCTTGTAGCCTTGATTTTTCTCCTGTCCCTGTAATCATCTTGGCATTCTGTGCATGCCAATAATATTCAATTCTTCCTTTATCTAAGAACTTCTGCTCCACCAACCAGGGACATAGAAACTCACCATCTTTTTGACCCATTGGCTTTCCTCTAATTTTGTCCTTTAAATTTTATCTTTGTTTTTTCGAGACTTGTAATTAGGGTCGATTTAACTTTTAAACAAGTTCACTTGAGGACTTACATTAAAAATAAGATCTTAATTTTTAGGAAATTTCATTTCAAATACATCAAATAGAAAAAATAATGAATAACAAAATCACTGATATTACATATCAATATTTATTTGTGATTCAGATGGAGTTACTTGCAGCAATACCATTACCGATTACTGACACATACTTCAATGGTAAAAGATAATATTGTATGATACAATCTGTGTACAACCGCGATCAAACCACTCGATCTTGAACATTTACCTTTTTAAATGCTTAGACAGGATTTTCGAACATTAGTAGTTTTGTGTCTTTATACTAATTAAAAGTCTATCCAGTTTACCTTTATACTACTTAAAAACTACGTAAGGTTAGGTCGTATAGCATACATTTGATGTCCTAAGTCATAACCTCTTTCATAGACACACACACACATATATATATATACACACACACACACACACATTAAAATAATTAATTGATTAGCACTGCAAATTAAGAAACTCTCAAGTATATTTATAAGATAAAGAAATATAATTTTTAAGTATTTTTGATTAATTAAAAATGTTGAGATAAGGAAAAAAAATTAAAAACACTGAGTTTGGAAAAATATAATTTCTTCTAAAGATATGAGAATTCTAGAAGTAATAATTGCAGCAAAGATTTGCCAAAAGTTGATATCTTAGTTTAATGAAGTTGAAGGAGACAAGGTGTGACCGATCCCATTCCAAACATTAATCTTCTTTCCTATTTGTTGAGTGAGTCCCAGATCATTTTTTCCTCCTCTTTATAATGAAATAATAGTTTCCTTCTCTCATCAACCAGACATGCATAATTACACTGTTTTGTGTGTGTGTGTGAGAGAGAGAGAGAGAGAGAGAGAGAGAGAGAGAGAGAGAGAGAGAGAGAGAGAGAGATGGGTTGGTAAAGAGAAAAACAAAAGTACAAAAAGGAGAGAGTAATCTGCTCCAATGCTACATATGTGAAGTTGATTAATGTATTAAAACTCTTCAATCTTTGTTTATTATCGTAATTATGTTCCTAACCTTTTTATCATGTTTTTATATTGAAGCCCCTGTTTTGTACAGCGAGATTTTAATTTAGGTCAAAGTTAACAATTAATTTTAATCAATATTTTATGAGTTCCACAACTTTTCAACTACACATTATATTAACTTCTATCATATTCTATTAAAAACCTAATTTTAATTATTAACGTACATTTTGTATCTGATAACAGTTTATATCCAAAAAGCCCATTAAGAGGGAGTGAAAAAAATTATTTGTTCCATTTTTGAATAAACAACATATCCAAAAGTGCGATGGATTTTTTTTTTTTTTTCAATGTCATAACATGCTAATAGAATATTTTAAATAAAAACCATAATTAGGGACCAAATGTACTAATCGATAGAATACTGAAAATAAAAATATTACAAAAAAAAAAAGTGAGCATATAGGTGCAAATATAAGCAAATACTGAGAACATTTACTACAATTAAAAATGGTACAACAGAAGAAAATAGAGTGGCAGAAATATTATTTTAGTTTTCTTTTGGTTGCTTTATTTTTTTATTATTTAAATTAAATGGTAAAATCCTCATTTTATACTGATGGTTTATGTTAATTTATCGAAGGTTAGGGGACAAAATCAAATAAAAAAAGGTTAGGTATTAATCTGCAGATCGAACAATTAGAATAACATTATCGTTTATTATATAGAAGGTGTTGTAAATGATAAATTTATTAGTGAATGATAATTGTACCCATACAATCTTAGAAATTATTATTATTGTATCT